AAAGTTACTATGTTACAATAATTATATGACTAATAAAAAATATTAAACTTTAATTAAGAAGTAGGTAAGTTGAACAACTTTTGTGAAATGGTATTGGTTTAAAAACTATTATGAAATATGATCTTAAAAACAATTTGACAAATGAAAAACAACTGGCAGGTTCCCTCGAGTGTTTAAAGGAGTTCATCTGCCATAGTAGAGCGATCTTGGAAATTTAAATAGTTAAACTAAGACTTGTAAATAAAGTCGATCACTGAGCAATTCACGTTCATATATCAAAATAAAATTGTCAAAAATCTATTTTCTTGTAGATTAATCGATTGTCTATCTTACTTGTAATCTACACAGACGAGGTATTTAGAAATCAAAATTACATATTTATAATCACGACCTTTTGGCGATTGTTGTTCTTTACCTTTGACCACTACTTTCAATTTCTTTGGTGTTTCCGGCATTCGGCACACATCGAAGTTTAGGGAGTTCCACAAAATGTATATTACGGTCCACCGCTTAGGTAAATAGTAAATACGATAAGCAAAATTTACAAAAACTTGAGCCGGAAGGCCGACACAATGTCGACGGCAAAATGTTGTTATCATTATCAATTTTAAGGCTATTGGTTTTTTCTAAGATAATAAACTAAATAAACGACTTGTGCGAACTCTGTCGACGTAAAACGAGTACCAACCACACGCCCTCAGGGCCGTCGCGCGTTAGAGATCKGACGATCTGAGCCATAGAGTAATGATCTGAGCGCGAGGAGTCGGCGACCGATACACCCGTTCGTAGAAAATTCACTTCACGTCTTCACGGTGTGGTTACAAGTCTGTTCAAATAACGACCGACAACTACTTTTCATTATAACTTCTTTGACAAAAAAGCCAAAAATTATATGACATGAAATCTATATACCTAGTTACTAACCTAGTAACCTGCATAAATATCATAGGAACATGGTTATAAAAAAAGAGAATGTAAAGATCTTAAGAATTCAAACTTATCTCCTGAGCTTATCCCAAGTTTCCGTGTGGACCTGTGCTGCAAATCTTGAATCGTGTGACATTTATTGAAATCAACTGAGGACTGGAAGAAGATATTTATATAAAAGACATCTAAGCAACCCATCATCATAACCTTTATTACCTAGGTCTTCAGTGGCGTGTAACCTAGGGTCCAAGAGTTTCTCAAGCAACACCTTAAATATGGGTGGGTGGGTGGATATTGCTAGAAG